CCTCTCGCCCCGGGGACACTCGGATCCCACGGACACACAAATGACCCTGCAAGGTTTGTGAAGGACAGACCCGCCGGCAGCTCCAGCCTGTCACACACACACAGCCGGGCTGCAGGAAACACAGGGCTCTGGCTCTCTGCTTTGGCCTCCTGTGGCACCACATGCCCCGCTCCAGGCCCAGCTGCATTTCTGAGCTCCAAACCTGCCCGGGCTGTCCCGTCCAGCTCAGCCCACACGGCTGAGAACCGTGCCAAGGAGGGAAGGGCGAGTGCCTTTCTGCAGGGAGAAGCTGTGTCCGACTCGTTCATGTCTTAGGACCCCAGGAAATGGCCCTGGGATGCTCAAGGGACAGATCCTCCCCCCCAGATGCTCCCAGCCCTGCAGCTCTCCCGGAGCACGATGTGCAGCACTTCAAAAGCCAAACTGCAGCCACCGCTGGGATGGACTGTGCCATGCTCCATTCAGTTTTAGGAATGATGGAAGAAACACTTTTTCCAGAGCTGCTTCCCCCTCTCAGAGGATGGAAGTGTTATCTCAGCAGCCCTGGAGTCTGCTCACTCGTCCTCAGGGGTTGCACAAAGGGAGCCAAGCACTCCATTTTCACTTTGTGTAGGACTGGGTCATTTTCAAGTGCTGGGGCACTCACTCCAAAGCACGCTCCTGTGAAAACTGGCTTCTGTTCCCCATCCAGCCCCACAGGTCACGGACTCTCACCTGCACTGCTGGGCTGCCATCTCCCCCTTTTCTCCCCTCACCGTCACTGAGGGGCCCAGCTGTGCTTATACCAAAGCTGCACCGGAGGGATCTGGCTGCCTCACAACTCAGCACTCAAGTATTTATGCTGAAATGCATAAAAGTGTTGGTTGAAAAGAGAACAAAGCTTGCTTTGATAAAAGCCCTCATGTTCTCTCTGCATTTTAATGGCCAGTTCCACTCATCTGCTGTGGTTTCCTTTTGTGTCCCTAAGCAGCTTCAAAATACTTGGTGTGTTTTTGGCAATATACTTGGTAGTTTAGTGTTTCTTTGATTTTGGAGTTCGGCCTGTATTAACCTGACTCAGTGGGAGGCAGGGATGCTTTCCCTGCACCAATTGTCCAAGGACCCTGAAGCTATTTAATCTCAATTGTTTCCTTTCCTCCTACTTATGTTCCTGCCAGGGAGTGTAATGTCAGATAAGTAAAATGACCCTCAGGGAAATTTGTAACACATTTCAGAAATCCCTGTTCCCCCAAACGCCTCCCTGCAGAATTGCCTGTGCTGATGGGGCAGTCCTTGCTCACACAGAGGTTTAGGGGATGCAGCAAGGTGAGCTGTGCAGGACAGGGAGCACCACAACCACCTCCCAGGCTAAGCTGGCCCTGCTTTCATCAACCACAGCTCTTCCCTGAACTCTGCTGAGCCATTCCCCTCCAAAGCTGCAGGCAGCAGGTCCCACAGACACTGTGCAGGTGTTGCAGTGATCTCATTCATCCCTGCTGGGTTCCTCTGTGAGGACTCAGGGGGATGGGAGAGCCCTAGGACACAGCAGGGAAGCAAAGTTCTCCAAGCTACTGCTTCAAAGTTCACATTGTCATCACTGCTCGGCTGAAGATTCCCCTCAGCAAGAGGTGAGGAATCAAGGAGAGACTCCAGGCACCAAGGCCTTTTGCTGCCTTGCAGAGCTTAGGAAAGAAGGATCCTTAAATCCCAGCCCCTGCTCCATGCACCACTTACCTGATTCAGTGCAATGTAATTAATTTAGGGAAGGAAGAGAGTGATTGTGACCTCTATGCAAGACATGACTTGTGACAGCTCCCCAGGACAGCTCAGCTGATCTCAGAGCCTGCAGCTGCCAAAAAGGAGGGAAAGCCTTAATCCTGCCATTGCCCCTGCAGCATCTCACAGGCTGCAGCACCCAAATTCCTGTGTGTCAACCCAGCAGCCAAGAAAAGTCTAACTTCAGCCTGAGTTATCAAACTGAACATGCAAAAGGTTCAGCAGGTGCTCGAGTGGGAGGTTTAGGTGGGAATGGGAGCAGAGACCTGAAGCTACAAGAGGTGCCAATGTCAGTCAAGCCCAGACCATGGCTCTGGGCTGTGAACCCATCCCAATACCAGAACCAGAGTGGAGCAAAGTCTGCTTTTAACCATCCTAAGCACATTTATGGCACATAAACACCTGACTCATACAAACCAGGCATGCCTTAAATCCACACCGGGAAGCAATTAGATAAAACTGTTGTTATTTGCCCCCCTGAACCTTGCTGGAGGGATTGGCTGGAGCAAGGGATGCAGGTTTGTTACTGTTCCCTCTCAAGGCACTGCTACATCTTAACACAGGATGGTCTCAGGAGTCAAATCTATGCAGACATTAAACAGAAGAATCCATTTCCAAATTAATTTAAAGTGACCTACACGTGGAAATAAGGATTTCTGCACTGTCTTGGTGTTGATAGAGAAAGATGGGCTGCAAGATGAGCTTTCCCAGGTCCTATGTAAGTGCTTCCCATCCCTGAGGGTTGTCTATCCTAATTTTCTAGGAGTTACTGCAGGCAACTGGAAAACAGTTTTTCAACATGCTGGATAAAAAGCAGTGAAAATATTTGTGAGTCTATGTGAATTTTTATTAGCTCTCATTGACACAGGAATGGTGCAGCTTCAGCAGATCCCAAACCTGGTGATGTGTCCGATGCAGCAGCAGCTGCTCTTCCCCCAGGCCACATCTGCTGACAGGGACACTCCTCCCCCAAACTCCATTAACAGCTCAGAGGAGCTGCCCGAGCTCAAATTCCACACAGTGATGCTGCCTTTTCCCCACTTCCTGCCCACCCCCCTGAAATTCTCAGTCACCTCTGGGAACACGAATGAGCCCAGGTGCTAATAGAGAGCCACCCCCTGCCCCAGGTCTCTGCCCTGCAGGGGTGTTTCTCAAGGCCTCTCCAAGCTGCAGGAACCCAAGACCCTACCTGAGGCTGAGTGGCCCCCAAGATCTCATGGTACAAAAGCTTCTTCCCAAGAATTCCCATCAGACTGTTCATTTCTTCTTAGCATTTCAAGTCTATGTGATCCTATTTAATATGTAAGAGTCAGCAGAAAGCACACCTGGATCCATGGAGGATTCACCTCCCCTCTCCCACTGAAGAGGAGCAGGAGCTCACAGCACTCCGAGTGCTGTGCTGGGTGGATTTCAGTTGCTGCCATTGAGATGTGAAGGCTTTTGACCTGAGTTCTCCCATCTCTCCAGGGGTGTTCTACTGACTGGGAAAGCTGCCACCAACCCCCAGCTCCATCCCAGTGCCACCCATTACACAGGAATCCACATGCACCATTTTTTGAAGGTCATTTACTCAGCGTTAGCCAAGCTGATTTCCACAGTCAGTTCTGCGCAGTGGCACCTTCAAAATGAAGCTGAACAGCGCAGCATATTGAAGTAACATGGACTATAACTGGGGTATTACAGGGCAGAACACATACCCTAAGACACAACAATCCAAATGAAAGTGTGAAATTAGTGATGTGATCCCACCATTTTGCCATGCCTGTGCAAAATCCAAGTGGAGCTCTCTTGTCGTTTGAGGCACATCTCCTTGATGAAACTGTGTAGTCCTTGGGCTTAGGGCTAAGAGACAGGAAGGGCAGGAGGGAAGAAGCAGTTTCCATGACAAATATCCATCTTACACATTTAGCAAGGACACAGCACAGGATTTGCCTCCTGCTCCAGCGACATCCTCAGCCCCCAGACCACAGTTCTGCCTCTCTCCCTCCCCTGATAAATCCTGAGTGCCCACAGCAGAGGCTCCTGACAGAGCAGTCCCAGAACAGGCCACACATTAAGGCAGAGTCTCCAAATCTTAGAAGCGCAGGTGCTCAAGCACTGCAGGAAGAAGGGACTTGTTTGTGCCCCTCCTGCTGTCAGGATGCCTCTTCTGGGAGTCTCATCCAAGGCTGTGCCTGCCTTACAGAGCTCTGTCAGCAAAACTGTTTCATTAGAGGGATAAGCAAAGGTTCTTCCTACAGCCTTGGGGCAGAACACCTACACCCCTCCTTGAGTTTGGTGACACAAACAAGTCCATCACCCCAGCACGGTGAGAGCTACGCCCTCACAGCTGGGTTAGTACCCAGCTGCTTATGAGCAGAGGACAGTGACATGTCCCACAGTGAGGCACAGCACCAGGGACCCCAGAGCATCCCAGGAGAGCTGTTCTGTCACTCATACAGGGGTTAGCAATGGAGAATGAACTGGGCCATGATTACCAGCAGTGATAAATGCAGGGAGAACAGCTGCTGCAGCCTCCTTCCATTTTTAATTAGCTTTGTGCCCAGCTTTTAAAAGGCAGAAACCAAAACTGGTCACACTATCCCAGATTACTCTCACCACCTTTTACAGAAGGGAAATTCCTTCCTGACATCACTGTTTAACACACATACATGTGTTCTGACATGCTTCAGCACTGCCTATCCAATGATTCAGATCATTTTCAGGCTGGAATCTCTTCACTCTTGCTGCCTGGAAGCTCTATGGTCTGGCACACGTTTTTTGTTTGCTGCTCTATCAGCCGATGGTGCCTGCACATTCTATCAGTGTTTTGTTCCCAAGCACTCAGTTAATAGAACTGCACAGGTTAGCTGGAATGCCTTACACTCACTTCAGGTGCCACAACTCTCACAGAGTACAGGTGTCAGGTGGGATGAGGTTTGGGAGAACATAAATGTTAGAGCCTGGGGCAGCAAACATTCCTTTTGAAAATCAACAGAACATTCAGCCTTAAACCCTGGAAGTGCTCTGACTGCAGGTCAGACAGTTTCAGCTGCCACGACGACTCAGTGCAGCAGTTCTGTCCTTCTGCTGCCCTGTCCCAGTGCCCCCATTTACATGGTGTCACAGGGCCACCAGCATGACAGACACCTCAGCCCCCTGGAGCAGCCACCAGGAAAGTGGTAGAGCAGGAAAGGGGTAGATCAGGCTATGTGACAAAAAAAAAAAAAAAAAAAAAAAAAAAAAAAAAAAGGTGAGCTGTCCCTGCAGGGTACAGGAACCCTCCCAACACCAACACCCTTCCCATGGGGGTGCAGGTGAGAAGTTGGCTGTGCCAGGGCTGCAGTTCCTGACGCTGCTCAGCCTGTGTATGTGGGAAATGGGGAAACGGGGTGAGCAGCCGGGCTGCGGCTCAGTCACAGCGGGCGAGCTGTGGCCACGGGGCAGGCAGGCGGCGCTCAGGCCGGCTCTGGGCTGACCGGCTGCGCTCAGTCCGCACGGATCCCGGCCCGGGGCTCTCGGGGGCCGGGCCCAGCTCCCAGCCCGGGCCCGGGCCCAGCGTCACTCGTGGGCCACGCGCTCCAGCGCCACGTAGAAGCTGTCCTTGTCGTCCAGGCAGTGCCAGCCGATGGGCCCCGCCTCGCAGTCGGCGCACACCAGGAACTTGACGTTGCCCACGTCGCGGGTGAATCCCACGTTCTCGAAGGAGAACATGTCGCGCACCAGCCAGTGCTCCCGCAGCACGTCCCCGCCGCCTCCCGCCGCCGCCGCCGCCGCCTTCTTCCTCATGGCGGGCAGGAGGAGCTGCGGAGACACGGGGCCGTCACCGCCCGGCCGGCACCGCCCGCCCCACCCCCGAACCCCCCGGTACCTCACGGCGGGCGAAGGTGGCGGTGCCGGGCAGCAGCACCCGGGAGCCGCAGCGCTGGCACAGCACGGCCCGTAGGTTGCGGCCCTGCGCGCACACGAGCCCGGCCGAGCCCGGCGCGGCCGCAGGAGGAGCAGGGGGGGAAGGCGGAGGCGCCGCCGGCTCCATCTCCGCGCAGGGCGCCGCCATGGCGAGGGGCGGGGCCGGCGGCGTGACGTCAGGCGGAGCGTGATGATGACGTCATTGCTATGGCCCCGCCCCGCCCCGGGAGTGTGCTGGAGATGCGGACTGGGAATGCTGGCCTGGCACGGGCTGGGACCATGGCACGGGCTGGGAATGCTGGCACCTTGTCCCTGGACCCTGGAAGTGTTCCAGACCAAGCTGGACGGGCCTTGGAGATGATGGTGGAAGGTGTCCCTGCCCATGACAGGAGGGATGAGTTTTAAGGTCCTTTCCACCCAAACCAGTCTGGGATTTTCTGGTCCCCCAGTGATCTTGAGCCGGTAGGAGTTGGCAGTGAGGTCTGTCTGTCGTGGGCCTGCCCACAGGAACCATGAGAACAGTCATGTCCCAGACATGGGAGTCTGGATATGCTCGAATTCATGGTTGGAGAAGGAGCTCAGTTGATGCTGGACAAAGGGGAATTGTCTCCCTTAAAAGTCTCCATAGATATTCCAGAACCCTCTGGATGCAATCTGTGCCTTGTGCTCTGGGATGGCCCTGCCTGAGCAGGGAGGTGGGACCAGATGAGCCCCTGGGGTCCCTTCCCACCTGACCTATTCTGGGATGCTGTGAAGCTGCAGCACCTCTGCATGCAGTGATTGCATCAGCATTTGGGAGTGCCTGGGCTGCTCTGACACAGCAGCTGTCTTGGCTGCTTGGTACAGAGAGGACCCCCTTGATGGGGAGGATAGAACGCCCTGAAAGGGGCAAGGGGCTGACATTGGCAGCAATGTGTTTTCCTGGAGAGGAATGCAGAGATCAGCCTGAGCCCACAGAGCCTGGGCAAAGCAGGAGGCAGTGCCAGGGCCCACAGGCAGCAGTGCTGGGGCCCAGGTGACTCTGCTGCTCCTCACTGAACACCTTTGAGACACTCTGGCTGTGTGCTGGCCTGGGTTGCTGCTAACACCTCTCTGTTAGCGTTGAAAAGACTGAAAGAGGCCTTTTTCTTGAGCCACTGCTTCTTTAAAGGGTAGGCCAGATCCCAGAAGAGTCCTGATTTGGTGTAAATATGCCACATCCTCCTGCTGTTTCACTCCTGACTGTCTTCTGCCAAGGGCCCTCAGGAGAAACCAGAAATGGGAACTGATATTTGAGGTACTAAATAAAGGTATAAAGGATTTCAGCAGCAATCCATCTGCTCCCCTCAGGCTCCAGCCCTGGGCAATGCTGACATGAACTGGGGTATGACTGTAGCTGGGAGACATCACCCCACTCTCCTGTCACCTGTGCAGGTGTTTCTAAGGCAGGGACAGTGCTTGGGACATTTGAGCTCCTAAGCCCTGTCTGGGTGTGTGTGGGGAGACAGGGCAGGGCTCGAGAGGGGAGTGGGGCATGAGGAGATGAGGAGCTCAGCAGTGCCCACTGAGCAGCCCTGGGGCACACACTGCCCTGAGCCACAGGAAGGTGACACGGATCAGTCCTGTCCCACAGCCATGGGGAGGTGACACGGTTCAGTCCTGTCCGGGGGCTCAGGGAAGTCACAGAAATCCCGTGCCTGGAGATACTCTGGACTCAACAGAACCTGCTCCAAACTGGATCTCCCTCAGGCAGGGTTACAGATCACCAGATTGCTCTTCCCAAAATACAATTATCCTTGGATTCTCTGAGTTCTTTCCTGCTCATGTAGGTGTCAACATCACTTTGAGAAAAACACCCCAGAACATTCCTGGGAGTCCAAATCCATCTCTGCCCTGGGAGCTGACTCTGGCTGCCCCAGAGGCACCTGAGCAGGGACAGTCCACTTGAGTCTCACTTCTCTCTGCAGGGAATCAGAGCCTCCCCACGGGTCACTCCTGCCCCAGACCAGCCAGGAAAGCTGCTCCTGCCCACGCCTCTGCTTTGCAGGAGGGTCGATGGCAGTTTGACTGTAGCAGGACATGAAGTGACACATTTGTAAGGCTTCTGCCTGGTTGTACCACGTATGCATATCCTCATTTTGGGGGTAACACAGCCTGTGATGGGCGAGATCCCAGCCAGATGTGCGGGGAGGAAGGTGAGCCCTGTGCCTGCCCTGGGGAGGATGGTGCAGGATGCAAATCCAGAGCTGCCAGTGCTGCATCTGCTCTCACCTCGTCACACTAACGTGGGATGGGGCACTTCTGAAAGTCCCAAGTGGCACAACACCACACTGATGTCTCCAGCTTGTGGCCCAAGGCTGCTGGGCTGGGCTGGTTGGTCAGGGCTGGTGGCTGGAGTGGTGTCCCTCACTGTTACAGTTCTTGTGAACAATTCAAGAGGTAAATAAAATCCTGTTAATAGGATCTTTGGCCAATTCTTAAGTCTTGGGTGGGAGCTTTTTCTGTTGAAAACTCACTCTTAATTCTGCCTTTTAGCATTTTTTGCTAGATTATTCATGAAGCAAAGATTTACTCTTGCTGGCCAGGGAGAATTGATATCAGCTTCCTCCCAAGCAGAACATTTTGTCCCTTTGTTTTGCTTCCAGCAGGAGCCTGTACATTTTCTCATCTCCAGCACCAACACAGAACATTTTGATTTATATTGTGCATTACCTCCCTGGAAACACCAGTTCCTCTTCAAACCCTTCAGTACATCCTGTCCTGGGAAGGCAGGGATGGGTCTGCTGGCCACTCCCATGTGGTCACATCCTGCTGTGACCCAGTTCTGATGCTGCTGCTTCAATCTGCCCCACTGAGTTTCTGCCCAGCCACACACTGGACATGTCACTTTTGGAGCTGCATCCCCCTGAGGCCTTTGCAGGAGAGCAGGGCTCATTAGGGAAGGGAGAGGAGATGCTGACAGCTCTAGGGTCAGCGTCAGAACCTGGGAACTCCCCCTGCACTGCCTGTCTCCCTGCAGGGGCACAGATAGGACAGATCCATGTACGGGACAAGTGAGTGCTTCCTGGTGAATGCTCCCACCAAATGGGCCTGTTCCCGTCTTTGCTTCCCCACTTTCTGCTGGCTAAAGAACGATGGAGCAGTTTGAGGGACAGGTGTCAGGAGAGGCTCCTGAACATCTGGAGTAAGTGGTGAGCTGTTTATTTGGGGACCAGGTAGTAGGTGGGGGATTTGGAGCCATCAAAGGCTCCTTGGGCGGAATGCTGCAGTTTGCCCTGAAATCAACAGAATCTGTGTTTTGCATATGGACAGACAAATTAATGCTGGATTCCTTTCATCCTACATGCCCATGGTGGACAAAGGAGCTGTAATTTTTTGCAACTTCAGCTCTACTGTAACAGTATTAGCATTATGGAATTGTTTAATTTGGAAGAGACCTAAGATCATTGAGTCCAACCACTCCCCCAGCATTGCCATATTCACCACTAAATCATGGCCCCAGGGGCCACATCCTCACGTCTTCTGGATACTTCCAGGGATGGTGACTCCACCACCGCCCTGGGCAGCTGTGCCAGAGCCTGATCAGCCCTTCAGGGAAGAAATTTTCCCCAATATCCAACCTGAACCTCCCCTGGCACAACTTGAGGCCACGTCCTCTTGTCCTGTCTCTATTCTCTGGGAGCAGAGCCTGACACCCCCTCCTTTCCTGTCAGGGAGTTGTGCAAAGCCAAAGGTCCCCCCGAGCTTCCTTTTCTCCAGGCTGAGCCCCTTTCCCAGCTCTCTCAGCTGCTCCTGGTGCTCCAGACCCTTCCCCAGCTCTGTTCCCTTCCTGGACATGCTCCAGGCCCCCCAATGTCTTGTGAGGGTCCCAGGCCTGCCCCCAGAATTAGAGGTGTGACCTCAGCAGGGCCCAGCACAGAGGGATGGTCACTGGTCCTGCTGGTCACACCATGGCTGGTACAAGCCAGTGTCACTGGCCTTCTTGGCCACCCGGGCACAACTGGGCTTATGTTCAGCCCCTGATGATTGATTATTGCTGTTGACTGTAATTCCAGTTTTCTTCCTCTCTGCTGCCAAAATTTCTCCATTAGGGAGTCCTCCAGGCCTGGCTGGTCTCTGTGCCACACATCACTCACCTGGAGCAGCTGTTTTTCACTACGAGGCTGAAGCTGCAGAGCAGACACACGTGAGGGTAGCTGCCTGTCTAACACATGGTTTACACAAACCCTTCATAGAGTAGTCAGACTATGTCTGGAAGGTAGAGAACAGAAGCTAAACTCCTACTGGCTCAGGAAATATTTTATTCTTTATACTTTCATTAAAAAATAAACATAGGAAACAAAACCACAGAACACTTGTGTGATAGAAACAAACGCAGAAGGTCAGAGCATTGGCTGAAAGTGCATAATAAGGTCATGCTACCATGTCCCTGATCCCACCCTGTCCCCAAGCAAGGAGTCAGCAGGAAGCTCAACGAGCAGCACTACATGGAGCCCAGGCACTGTGGGGCCAAGCTGATGGCAGAGGGGAGCCTGTGCTCCCAGGAACGCAGTGAGGCAGGACATGCTGAGCAGGGAGTGCTCCATGAGCTGCAGTGAGCCACTGATGGAGCCTCACCTGGGCTCGTGGGCCAGGCCAGGGATAGAAAGTGTCACAGGATGTGGAGTTATGAGACAGGGGAATAAACAGCTGAGAACAACGGGCGAAACAGAATTCTGGATGTCACTCTGGAACAGCCCTGGAAGCAGAAAAATCCTAGCTAAAAGGAAAACCTACACAATGAACTTGAGTGAAAGGCTGCCTTGGGTGTGCTGGACTCAGGTCTGGGGACAAACCCCAGTGATTCACCCAGCAGGACCTCGGTGGGCAGCAGCCACTGTGTCCCTACTCTCCTGGCCTCAGCTCAGGTGACCTCCTCACAGGGTGAGGCACAGGCACGGCCAAGCTCCCAGTGCCACACATTGTTTGCAGCTGGAGCTGTCAAGCTTTTTGAGGAAACACGATGTGATGAACCTTGCTGAGCACCTGATCACGAGCACAAACACTGCAGATGCGTCTGTGGCAGGAAACGAGCTCCTCCCCTGCCCTCTGCCCCAGTGGCCTCAGGCTCTGTGTCACAGTAGTTGACAGCTTTAACCTGCGACTCCTTTGTGCAGCCCTGCGAGGCGC